TAATGTCATACTAGACACTGGGCTTCCACTCCCCTAAGGGGAGACATCCGTCTCATGCAATTCTGGTGAGGTACCAGAGCCTTATAAAGGTCTGTTCTGCAATCCGTATTTTAAAACTCTAATCTTTTATCACTAACAGCATACTTTGAAAAGATGGCTGTAATTATTGCCATACAGACTTTAAATTTTTAGCCTTCTTGTTCTGGAAGAATATTTAGAAAGGCTATCAGCTGCTCTTGTTACCAACACAGCAGTTATGAATGATATTTAAGAAGCAGTGTATATAAGAGTTGATATGTTCCCTGGTAAGCAAATAGGAAATACAAACCTTTAATTATTTATAAAGGATCAGGAGTGAAAGGCCTATACATGCTTCTAGAAGAAAGCTGAGGCCCACACTCCCTTTGCTTCCAAATGTGTTATATGAACAATAATATAAAAAAAAAAACTCATCAAAACTAACCAGATCGTACTATTAGGATCCCACAATCTCAGAATATTTTCTGGGTATGAATTTAAGGACGTGTAGTAGCTCCTGTTCCATTGAAAGATAATCTGCTACATAAATGACTTAATATAACATGGGTAATTTGTTTTAATAACTATTATTATGTCTGTAATTCCCTCAGTTTTGTATGGTGGCAATTCCTAAGTCTTACTACAACAAATATCTCTTGCGCTTTTGGAGAATCCCAGGATACTATGCTTTGAATAGTTCGTAACAGTTACTTTTTGAAATAGTGACTTTTTGAAATCACTACACATTTTTGATAACTCCAAAGCTTTCATTAAAAATAATTATAAAATCTACTATTTGCATAAGAATGGGATACTGACATACAGAATTGGAAAATATCTTGCAGTTGGCATGTAATAAATCTGTTTTTTCAGATTTGTTGAACATATTAAACCATTCTTACTGTAAAAGGGAAAACAATCCCTGAATTTGTTCTTACTATAACTGGGGCATTAATGCATTGATTATTTGAAATCAGTGAGAGATATACACTTGAGAGAATGTTCATTGTATTTCCCTCACTTTTATTTCCTCTGTTTCAAAATTATATTTTCCTTTCTTCTCCACAACTTGGTAAGGAATAGGGAGTAAGAAATACAGTGGAGATTTTAATACAGACTACGACCTGGAAACCATAAGAGTAGGGGTGTTTTTTTTTCACAATACTGTCTTTTTCATTCCTTGAATGAAGCAAAGAAACAATTAGTACTGTTTTTGGAGAATGTAAGGGGGAAAACATGAATTTCTTCCAGTGACTAGGAATATTGATAGACCTTGCTTTCTGCCAACAGATATCTTGAGTCCTTAGTGCGTGTTAAAGATTTGTTGATCTATTCTGAAACTACAAAGAAAGCTGCTTTTAATTCAACATATATATTTGAAAATGAAATGATGAAACTTTTTTTTGCTAAGTGTCCTCATTTTGATAGGTTTTCCACCTGCTGCAGTACTAGCAAAACATGAAGCAAACTTTATAATGCAAACATTAAATATTCAGCCCAAATACTAATATTAAGTGTTGATTTTCTTCCAACTTCAATGCAGCTGAAAGCTGACAATGAAGTCCAAGCTAAGCTCTAATGTTACTGGAGTAATAATAATGATAATTTTCTTTGCAGCAACAATTAATGGTAGATAGAAAATTATTTTCAGAAATAAAAAATTCGAGCCAGTTTGGCTCAGGTACATTTGTGATCTATGATTCCAATAAGTCTGCGAGCCTGTAAATGAAGGAGCAGAGTTTCAACAAAATTCACATTTTATTTTAAAAGAAAATTGCATCTCATCATGTCAAATGTTCTGAACTGATAGAGTAGGTGGTCTTCTCCTTGAGATAAATAACCATGGCCACTCAGTAACAACCAACGATAAGAAGAATAAAAAAGCAGTATTGGAAGCATATTACAGAAAGATAATGCAGGCATTTTTGCAGGCATAAAGCAAGTCTTTAACAGTAGATAGTTATGATTGTAAATAGGTAGAGATAGCTTCAATTCTAGGTATGCTATACTCTTGGCTACAGTAGAAACCTAGCATAAGATACAGTTGGACAACTTTAATTTTTGTTTTAGTTATATATGCCTGTTCTTCATTTCTTCTCTTAAAATATGGGGTACTGCTGCCAGTAAAAAGAGATGGATTCACAGGCAGATACAAGAATGTGAATGGTTTTCAAAGCAGTAGACAGAAAAGGACAGAGATTTTAGGAATAGAGATAATGTGAATTGGTATGTATTCCCTATACAACAAAAAATTCTGGTATGGGCAAAACAGTAAGAAGTTGCAACTAAATCTCAAACATGTTCAGAGTCACCAAAGTGTATATGCAAAAGTTCAGTAAAGTTTTCAGTGGAGTTGTACACCTTTACTTTCTTCTCATAATGTTTATTCCTCCCCAAGTTTCAACTTTCCAAAAGAAAAAAAAAATTCCAGGCCCAGCATGGAGAATGTAGAGGGAAAATTGACAAAGTCTGTATTGTACCTACCTTTTCCAGATTTATTTCATAGGCCTTGCAAAAAATGAGTAAGCGTTTTCAGCCAGATCAGAACACTTACTCTGCTCAAGCTCCACTCCTCTGAGCAGCTTTTGTTGCAGATTCCAGTATCACAGATTCCCTCTTTTCAGAGAAAGGAAATTGAAGGAATGTGGAAAGTTCATAAAGATAGACTGATAAGGAAGATAGGAAAACTACCTATTCTTACAATATTAAGTGTTCTTATTATTGCAGTCCTTGCTACAGTTTTGCTGTATAGAAATTACATTTTAAAGAAGAGAGAATTTAATTCTACAGAACAGTATATTGCAAAATGTCATATATTTGAATCTCATAAGGGATTGATCTGGTGGAATAAATGTTAAAACTGAAAGTCATCTGACTGCTTAGTCTTTTCCATTGTTCCCTACTGTTCCTTATTTTTAGTTCATGTTCAATATTTGTGTTTGAATAAAATGCTTTTTTCACAATGCAGAATTTCTAGTGCTATGTCCCTGTTTCTGTTAACACTTAAATTTCTGTCCAAAATTTCATCTATTATTGTATACTGCAGACATGCACTACACTCACAACAGCCCATCTTCTTTATAGCAGCCCTGCATTAAATAACATTTTCAATAAAATTGCTCTTATTTTCAATAAAGAAATAATCACATATTCAAACAAAAACTGTGTAAAGACAGCTGCTTGCTCATTGAATGGTCTCCAGCAGCAACATAGGCACTAAAAGGGCTGGACTGGTGTTGGATGGATCTCAGTAGCAGCTGTGGGGTGAAAAGAGAATGACCTATAGGTAATGCAGCTTTCTGTGAAGAACCGAAGGAGCACAGAAAATGCTCTCCATGCTCCATCCTTCTCCCTCTTCAAGTGCATGGTGCAGATTCTCTAACAAATGGGCATCTGTAAAAGGCATTGTCAAGGGACATTATTACAAGGGCAGTAGTCCAAGTTCTGCTTGTGGGAAGGAAACCCTGCATGAAGAGCGCCTTTCTGCACACAGATTAGTACAACACTCCCAGAATCGTTGTGTTGAGTGACCATAAAGGTGAACAACCAGATGAAAAATGTGCTCTAGTCAAGGCAAATCTGAAGAAATTCAGTATATACCGAAGGAACTATTTCATTTATTTCAGTTTTATTCAAACATTGGCAACACTATAACTTCCTCTTCTGCAATAAGGCTTTGTAGATTCGATGTTTATTAATAAAAATTGATCATATGACTTTGTCATAACAATATAGAATGATGTAGAATTATTCTTTTTATATTAGACCTTTTTGTTGTTGATTTCTCTGGGCAATTAATTATCATATCCAGATGTATAGAGTAAGGAACCTTCCAAATCAGATGTGAGTACAGGTGCAAAATGAAGATTTTGCATCAAAAGAGTAATTTGAAGATGGCATTTTCACACAATGTTTGTTATCCTCAAAACCATAACAATGCATAGTTCTTTACTACATTTTAAATCAAAGACAATGAAAGCAATCATGGCCAGTCTGAGCAGCGAGGCTATAAAGCCACTGACCAGTATTTACAAAAGGGCATATTCAATGCATGTGACAATGCAATTGCCACCAGCAGTTATGAACAAAAGCAAAATCTTATGCATACATTAAAAACATCTAACATTTGTAAGAATGTTTAAATGTTCATGTCAATATTTTTAGAAAGTTTAGTGTTTACATTACTACTTGAAATTAAACTTTGTTTCTAATAAAACTCTAATTAAAAGGTATGTTTACAGAAAACAGCAAGTGTGGTAAGCATTTCATTTATTGTAATAAACATGTTAGTAAAGCTTCACTGGCATAGTTTGAAAGTAAAACAAAATCACATACATTCCTTTGGCCTTCATAAAAAACACTGGGAGGAGTGAAGTAGCACTGCTTTATTATGTAATGCTGCAACACCCAGCATACACCCCTGGGTAGTCCCGAAATATCTTCTGCACTAGCTATAAGAAATGTGTTCCTTCTGTGTACTGACCTCCCTCTGTTCATGTGATTATGTTAGGGATACCGCTTGTGCACACAGAGAGGTATGCACAAGCAAAGCCTGAAGGCTGAATTTCCTGGGTTTCAGTCTCAATGAAAAAATCTGGAAATAATGCCTCAGTATCTTTGCCAACCTACCTTACCAATTTCCTTTTAACCAATGCTACATATAGTATGAAGTTACATAAGTGAATATAAAGTTGGGTACAATTACAAAGAAAAGTAAGAGTTTGCTTTCTGGCTTATCTGTAGCACTGTACTGCCTTTGACATTTTGACCATTACTATTACCTCTAAAAGCAGCTGAAAAGTACATGAAGAAAATAAAAAACATACTTCAAATTATTTCCAGTCACTACAGACCTGAATTGTTTTCAAAGGAATGATTAACTGATGAAATTTTCTGCACTCTCCTGAATAATCCAGAAATAAATCCACTAAACACCCCCATTTTGTCTTTGTCTTCCTTTTTTTTTTACTTAGGCCACCATATCAAATAGTGTGTTTCAGTAAGCGTGAAGGCACTTCTATACTGGAGGCATTGGTGTTCAGATGCTGAGGATTCAATAGTTTATTCCAGTTCATAAAAATGTGAGTAACAGGGAGTTTCCTCCACAGATTTTTTTCCCCCATATATCCTCTGACAAAGCCTGAATGTTTTCCAGAATGGCAATATGAAACTTGGTGTCCTCAGCTTTCACAAATTTCACAAAATCTGTGGCAAACTGACTTTGGTCTATCACATTTAGAGTCTCACTCACAGACTTGCTGACAGTTACATGGAGGCTGGCATCTCTGAAGCAGTGTATCTGGAGGAGAAAGATCCCTATAACATGAGTGGTAAATGGAGTCAGGGCACAAGTCCAGTCAGACTTCCAAAGGCTGTTTCAGTGATTTGAAAGCTGGTACTGATGAGCCTCCATGCAGGCCACAAACAGCTGCCTCTTCCCCCGGCTTTTTTTGAACACACAGCAGTTCCCTACAGGAAAGCAGCAGCTCACGTAGGCCTTCAAGCCTTTGTGGAGGGCCTGTCACCATAGCTCCCCCTCATCTAGCATCACACCATGCAGTTGGGGTTTGCTGGTTGCCCCACACAGGTGGTCAAACTCGAAAGAGAATTTGTCCTGAGGGTTAAAGAAGCGGTTTCCCTCTAAGCTGTTGTGATGGGTTAGTAGCACAGTGTGCCCATTTATTTGGATGGGGGTGAAGTCATTCTTGTTGTGACAGACCCTCACGCAGGCAGCCTCCTGCCTCACCAGTTTGTCATCTTGGGCCAGAGCAGGGAGATCTCAGACAACCTGGCCAAACTCCCCAGGAGGAGACTGGTGCAGTAGGCTGCAAATGGAGACACCTTCTCTGGCTTGTGCAGCTCCTGCCTCGCTTACCTGCTGGAGGTGAGGCCTATCCAAAGGGTGGGAAACTGCAGGCAAAGGGAGGACACGTGGGCTACTTTGTGCTCGAGGGAAAAGGCACAAGATGACGGCAGGGGCCGGGGTGGGGGGGGAGTGGTGGCAGGCCCCACAGTTTGTGACCTCACAGTGGCACTGGGGCAGTGCTGGTGGGGGGCCAATGTTGCGGGCGGAGCTGAGAGGGTGCCTGGATACGAGGGTAACGAAAGAGCCACACCAGGAACCAGAGCAACCTGAGGTGACGTCCTGCTAAATGCTGCCGATGCCACTGCAGTGAAGAAACCGGAGCAGGCGCTGCGGAGCCACCATGGAGAACAGATATCCTCCTCCTGCTCTACCTCCTCCTCCTCCTTTCCTCTACCTGCCCTGCGACAACGGTTTTTGTGTGATCTCCTCTTGCATGCCTCTTTCCCCCGCAGCCTGGGTCCAGCCTGTGCAGCATGGGACCCCCCATCTGGGTGGCAAGGGAGGGCCTGGGGCAGCCTTCCTTCGCACCCTTCCGTTCTCTTTCTCTGGCCCTTTTTGTCATCTTTGCCCTTAGAGTCTCTGGGCACAGAACAAAAATGTCTTCCTGCATGCCTCAGAGCCTGCTGCTTTCTCAGAAATCATAAGATAAGTGTGTTCTAGAGTGTGAGAAAAGCAAAGTGCAAGCTTTTTAGGTTTAAAAAAATCAAACTTTTCCCCCTCTGCCCCTTATTAAAAGGTAATGACATGGGCCAGATGTTTCCTTAACCTGATCTCTCATACGTGGCTTTTGTCCGTCATTCAGAATGATTTCAGGACTGGGAAGATTGATTTAGACAGCACAGCGAAGCTGCTTGAAAAACTACAAATACCTTATGATTTCGCACATGTAAAACATGTTTTCAAGGTGAGTAATATGTAGATTAAGCACTTAAATACATTTAGAAGTCCAGTTACATACATGTCTTCTATTTGCTGACTTGTTAAAATTAATGTTTTGAGAAGTGAATTTCATGCTAGTGGGGTGTGCAAAATCAGCAAGTAATTTGCCTCATTCAGGTTTTTTGTTTCTGTGTAAAATAGATAACTGAGTGGTTGCATCAGAATCACAGAATCATTTAGGTTGGAAAAGACCTTTAAGATCATTGAGTCCAACCATTAACCTAGTACTGCCAAGTCCACCACTAAACCATGTCCCTAAGCGCCACATGTACACATCTTTTAAATACCTCCATGGATGATGACTCAACCACTTCCCTGGGCAGCCTGTTGCAATGCTTGACAACCCTTTTGGTGAAGAAATTTTTCCTAATATCCAATCTAAACCTCCCCTGGCGCAACTTGACGCCATTTGCTCTTGTCCCATCACTTGTTACTTGGGAGAAGACACTGACACCCAAGTAACACCATCTTTTCACCCCACTGAAATAGTGTAGGGTGATGGAAAATATGTAGGTCTTGATTCCCAACTTTTTTGTAACATGGCTTTTACTCGAAAAAAATTAAAACATTCTGGTTTCATACCATCCAGCTGCTTCTGTGATCAAGCTAATGAGCCCAGACATGCCTGTCTGATGCTGGGCAGAGCCATTAGAGTGACTTTCTAAAAATCCTTTTGCCAGGAGGACGGTATGGAGTTGTCTGATCTGCTCAGGCTTCAGGTCAACATAGATCCAGCACGGTTGTTCATCCAATTTTCCACTATAACTCTACTCTGAAGTGTTTAAGAGATGTGCCTGAGTGGATAGGAATTGCACTTTAACCCCTAGGAAAGGATGTGGCCTTGAGATATGCAATATTTAAGAGATTTCTATGGTATAGCTAGAAATTTGACTTATTAAATAATAAGTTAATTTAGTATAGGTAAGCAAGCTACTATCCAGTGGATGCAGCCCCAATGAGCAAATACTGCAAAATTAAGTGCCTTTGGACTCAATTATTTGAGCTCCTCTCTAGTAATTACTCAAAAGATATCTGTTTTTTCTTTTTAGCTCATTTTTTAACCAAAAATAGCTGGTAAAGCTGTTTTCCTAAGGGAATGAGGCCAAGTGGCTAGATATATATGTGATTTCTTTGAGAATTTTGTAACCAGCTGGGTGATTCTGTCCAGATTCAACAGAGGGGAATTAACTATGGCAAATTAGAAACTTTTAGGTCACACCATGCTGACAGGCAAGCAGGCAGAGGGAAGACATTAAGATTTCTCACTCTGTCTTGTTCCTCTCTCATTGTTCTCTGCCTTGTCAAGCCAAGGTACAACTGGCAGTGTGAACTCAACCCTTGCTAAAGAGGCTGCCTGTGGTTTTTGAACTTGAACTGCATGGAGAGAATTGCCAACCCTGAGATTCTCATGAGAACTTGAAACTATTTCGCATTGTTTCCTTTATTTTCCACCTGCTTTGCTTTCTGACAGAAATTTGAGAGAGATGATCAGTTGTGGGTAGAGAAGAGAGTAATTATTTGAGGGAATTACCTGCATAGAACAAGCCTGATCTAGTTATATTCAACAATATAATATACTTAACAGTCTGATCTAGGTACTGTCAAGTATTCTTTGCTATTTAAGAGAAAGTTGAGTATATGCAGTAGTTTTGGGGCTCAAATTGTTCATCAGTGTAATAATATGTAAAAATGCAAAGCAGTCTGGAAGGAAATCTTACTGGCATCATTGTCAGTAACTATACATCAATAGTTAATCGAACGGTTATACATGACAAAATCAATTTTATAGAAAACATAGTTTTAAAAGAATAATCTGCTTTAACTTGTCTATTCTGTTTGAATTTATTTTACTGTAACATTCCTTTGTGCAATATCAGAATTATGAACTTTAAGATTTTCAAGGAATAATACATTTTCATATAATTCCTCTCAAGACTAACTCTTTGTTGAGATACTTCTTTTCCTGAATAACAAAGATTTGATGTGCATTAATAAAAAGAATAATAAAGATCTACCAACAAAAATTTTATAACAAACTTTATTTTTTTATATCGACATAATTTTCCTCACTTTAATTTGAAAAGCTTTCCTGTGGGGTATTATTACCTATATTTCCTCAAGAGGCAACTGAGATAAAAAATTTGATTTTTTGCCCAACTTCACTTTGTGCTAATGCCTAAGTGAACATCTCCCAAGTCCTGATAGATTGTTTAATTCCAAAATAAGTTGGTATTTTCTTTTTCTATTTAACAGTTATGAGTAAATTTGCAGTTTTCTTAAAGATGTTTAAAACTAGATTGAGGATATCAAGCTTAAATGTGGGATTTCGCAAGCAGTAATGAAATGTCTATTGGTAGCATTCGTATTGAGTTGTTTTCTCTTTCACAAATTCAAAGCAGATACTTCGGTACTGATTTGTAAAATTTTTGACTAGAACTCCTCATGAAATTTTCTTTGGTACTTGTTTTGGTCATCTAATGTATTCTTTTATTGTTGTACATCTCTTACTAGGAACTGTACTGCATAGGAAGAAGCTGATAATGTATCATTAAGCTTTTAGTTTTTACGATATCTCTTCAAAACTAATCTAATTTACTAGTAACAAAAAGTCTTCATCAAAGAGCAGCCAGAGCTCAAGTAAACCATTTCAACTTTATGGACACTTTTGGTGAAGCTGTACCAACCATAATAGCTGCCATGTTTTTGGATGCTGAAATTTAGCCTCTTTGGTAGTCTCAGTTTAAGGAGGCAACAATTATGAATTTTTATCAACTTACACTGATAATCAATGAGGCAATGAATTGCCATTTATTTATGATTTTTGTGGGTAATTTTGTCAGTAAATTTCCTAAGTTTCTCTTAATTTGGCAATTTTTAAGAATAATACAAGCTAAAATGTTAGAAACATCTATATTTCACTTTCAGAATTACATATTTGATGTAGAAAATTTTAAAGGATAAATAAAATTGTGAAGCCTGAGAAAAATGTAAATGACAGAAATGGTAAAAAAGTATTATTCTGCTCAAATTCTTTTGCCCTTTTGATTTTTCTAGTGGCTTTTATACTGAAACACTGAAATTAATTAATGTGCTAACATTTTGTAAGCTCTATGAAAACAAGCTTACAATTTAAGAATTCTGACAGTGTGAATAATTAATCTGAGTTAACATTCTGACTTGTTAAGAATAGAACATGGTGTCATAGGTTAGTATAAAGTATCTTGTCTCCAAACTTTAATAGTGTTTCTTATTTGATGTATTAAAAGGCTTGGATCTCATGATAATTTTATCATCTTTATTTCATTTTTTAGATTACTGTTTGCTGTGTGTTGTATGTAAATTTAACTGACAGGATTTACAATATGGTTTAAATTGCTTTTGGAGAGGTATTATATTAAATATATTTTCCACTTGATAATTTTTATAGTGTACATTTATTTTACTGCATAGCATTTTAGAGCTTTTATATAATGTGTTTTAATAATGCATATGCGTTATATAGAAATGTAATTACTTAGATACTAATTATGTCATATAGTACATTTTAATCTGTATAAAATATTTTTAGCACACAAAGTCAAATCTAAAAGTTGCATATAGAAGTAGAAGAATGTAATTTGATAATTTATTGCAGTCACTGTTGCCTGAGATTTTCTCTATTGTTCTTGCTCTTATGATCAGTTATAATACAGTGTTTTGTATGTATCATTCTATCATTGCTTATCTTTGTATTGACTGTCTTGATTTTTCTTTTTTCCAGAAAGTAGTTGACAAACGGAGGGAACATATGATTGGCATAGAAGACTTCAGGGCAATTTATCAAACTATTGTACACAGACTTGAATTTCATGAACTTTTCCGTACATACTCTCCAGACTCCAAAATTCTAACTGACAACCAGCTCACTGACTTTCTCAAAAGAGGACAATTTGAAACTGAAGCTTCTGAAACAGCTGCCTTAGAAATTATTTTGAAGTATGAACCCATTGAAGAAGGTATGCATAGTCTAAATATTTGATTTCTAGCTCTTATTTATTGTGCTTCTGTCAGTGACTGTGTTAATATTTTTGAATACTCATCTAACTATGCAAATTGAATTTTAAAGAAAACTAATGTAAGCAATGATAATTATATAGGTTGTATGATCTCTTTTGTAAGCACTTGTACAAAAGGCACAAAGCCTACACATTGTTGATGAAGACTGAGAAAAAGACAGCACTGTGTGCTTTAGTATTCTCTGTGTTTGCCATCTCTAAATCACCTGCCCTATTCAACAGCAGGCCCACTTACTCCTTTTTAAAAACATAGCCAATGCAGCAGGAAAAGTACTCCATGTTGCCACTGATGTCCCTTGCCAGTTTCAATTCTGGTTGTGCTTTGACTTTCGGAACACCATTTTGTCATGCCTGAGCAGTGTTTCTATATTCCTCCCTTGTAGCCTGCCCACACTTTGACTAGTAGTTCTATAGTTTCCTTCTTATGCTATTTCACTTTCACACTACCTCAGTAAATCCATGACATTGTTCTTGCAGCAGAAGGAAGCTATCTAAGGAGCTAGCACTGGTAATTCAGTCTAGAACCTGGAGCTCAGGTTGGATTCTTCCAGATCTCAGTAATATTTTG